GGTGGCTCTTGTGGCTTGGGCTAAATATGATCTTGAGGGTCCTAAACTCAATTTTCTCCATTGAGTAGGTTTTGCAGCAAAAGTGAAGAAAAAGAAAAATAACCAAGTGTTCTTTAGTAGCAGTGAAAGTTTAGGGCTGGGAGGTAAGTGAAAGGTGACCTTTCAGAAGACCTGCTTGAGAGACCCTTCCAGGAGCACTGACCACTGTGAAGCAGCAGTTGGCCCTGCAACAGAGGAGCCTGCACTCAGTCCCCCAAACCTGCACCACATGGTCCCACCTTTACTGTTGCTTCAAGTGGTGATGAAATAGCTTGAAGCTAAGCATTTACCTCCCCGCTTTGCAAAACATTGTCCTCCACAGTATGGCTGCAAAGCAGTGAGAACATAAGGGACTTCTTCAGGCAATACCTGCAGTGGTATCTTGCTGATGCTAGATCTGATGCTATTTTCACCTTGCACACAAAATTAGGTCTGCTCCACATAGCAACAATAATGGAAAAACACATATAGAGCAGAAAATTCCTAATGAGATTTAAAATCATCACTGTATTCATCTACCTTGTATAATTTAAACCTGGTTGAAACAGAAACAGCAACCAATCATTCACCCAGTGGTTATTAGATAAGTGTAGGAAATCAGATGACAATTATTTCCTATACTAATATGATCCAAAGTGTTCATAAATCTGAACTCCTAAACTGGCTTTTATTCAGACATACAGTATAATTAATGTCTCCATTATCATACTGTCAAAGACCTCTGATATTGTACATGCTACCAGCTTTAATAAAATAAAATACTTAACACCATTTTTGTTTTCTCATATTTTCATTCACATACTAATAGATGTCTGACACTATTTATGTTTGTCAATAAGTAAAACCATCCAGCAAAGAAATCTGTATTTCATGTGCTCCCTGCAGCCAGTTATTTCAGCATCGGTAATATTTACGAAAAGTCAGTTTTGCAGGTTTACATATGACTGGGTAGGCAATACAAACATGGGCCAAACAATAAAATTAAAAGAGAAGTGCTACCCCTTGCCACTCTCCTTACATTCATCCATCTCCTTCTCCCACAAACACATGGAGAAAAACACAACTAACAAAAAACAAGCGGTTTTACAGTGTGTTTAAAAGGCTCAGGTTTGGCACACCAAAGAAAGACCAGGGCAAGAACAAGCACTTTCGTTTTCATGTCAGCTCCCACAACACTCAAATGGAATTGCGTAGGGAGATTTTTCCTTCCTTTGCTTCTAATAAATGGGTGTTGTGTTTACATACTGCATACTGAGCATTGCCCATCTGAAGCCAAGGGCTGCGTCTTGCCAACTCTTAACTTTCATACAATATGGTGATTACATGAGCCAGCATACCATTAAATCACATAACAAAACTTGGAGAATGGCACTGTCAGCTTGCAGAGCCGTACCTGAAGGACTGACACGCAGTGCATAAAGGGAAAAACCAGATTTCAGTGCAATGGCAGAACTGGGTCAGGAGAAGACTGGGTTACTGGCCTCACTTTAAACGACAAAGCCAAGTGCCAAATAGTTCACAGAGATAAAAACTTGCAGATGCATAATAAAAGCAGGTGAAGAAAATAAATAAATGAAAAGATCACTAAACATTCCTTACAAAACGCTCCCCCACCCCTGAATCTTTCAGATCATCTGCTATTTATTCTCCATAGGACTCTTTATTCCAGGATGTTCTTTCCAGCTGCAGTACTTGCAAACTGGCTTCCCTTGAGCAGAGGCAAAACCAGGGGAACACAGACCTTAGTCCATTGCTTAACATGAATAGCACAGCATCTTTCTGGCTACAGCAAATTCTCTATTTAATGAGCAGCAGATCTGTAACTGCCATGAGCTCCAAATGTCGTCCAGTTCCTAGTGTTCATTTTTTGCAGAATGAGCAAGAGAGACTGATGATCAGAAGTCGCTATTTCCCCTAAAAGCAAGCTCACACCAAGGTATCAGGTATCTGATTTGCATTTCTGATTTAGCCTGCTGATAAGAGACTAGAAGTGCCAATCTAAGTACTAATTCTTTTTCCAGTATCGGTCCACAATAATCTCTACAGAGGCTTCCACTTTAGTGACACAAACATACAGACAAGACAACCTAAGATGGTAATTTAACTGCCAATAATTTCACATTCAGAGGTAGAAAGCTGTGCTGAAATCTAAGACACTTTCAATACTGAGGTTTCTAAGAGGATGTGCATCTAACTTACTGCAGGAGATCTAGTGCCTGAACCATGTATCTGTGATACCTTATCAGCCTTCAGAGCTACACCATAGGTGACCCCTCTTTGCAACATATTTCTTAGTAACTTAATCCTATTTAGATTGTCTTCAAATCACACAAAGAACAAGCAAATCAGAAAACTGCTACATGTTTTTGGAAGATCATATCACACTGGCATCACTAACCCTGTTTATTCAAATTGTAAAAGGCTGTCCAGACGTCAGTGATATTTTATTTGTTGTCATGTTAGCATGCAAAAGGACATAAACTCACTTCTGATAATAGTTTTAATTACTAAGTATATAAGCCTACAAATCCTCTCATCCAAGTAATCCTTCAATAAGATTAATTCATGGAAATAGCCTCATTGAAAAAGGATTTGTATGACTGAACCCTAAAAGCTTAATCACTTCTTTAAGGAAATCATGACTTACAAAGAAAAATCCAGGTGTTGGTATGTTTAAAACAGGGGGGTTTATATAGCCATCAAACCACGGAGTTTCATAAACATCACTTCTAGGACTGACACCACTGGGGAATGTGCTTCTGCAGTTCCTGTGGTTTCTCAGGTTAAGACTGACTTAAATAAACGGACCAAGTTGCTCACATTGAGTCTAGTGCTCTACACGGCTCTTCTTTCAGCACTTTCGTTGTACTGACGTATGACTCAGCTACTCCTTCAGCTGCACTAGTTATATATTATCACTCTGCAACATGACCTCAAAGATCAAAATCCCTGATTTATTTTAAACAATATCCAGGCATTACCAAGTGTTTGCAAGGCTCAGTGAGTGTGTGGTTCTTGCTATCTGTACTATGTCTATTGCAGAATATTTTATTGTAAGAAATATTAACCTTTTTCCTGGTTTTCTGATCTTGTTCTTTCCACTATGACAGTTACCAGTCTAGATAATGACTGAAGTAGCCACAGGAGAGCATATAGATTAAGGTTTACTTTAATGTGTCGAGTGCCCTCAAGTGCTTAAGTCCTCTTTCTTGTACCCACTTCACTTGCTCTCTTTCTTTGCACAGGGTCTTCATGGTTTTAATGGCAAGTCTTCTTGAAGTATCTCCTGCTCTGATCACCTTGGAATGATTAATGGTTTGGTATCACATTTGTTTGCTACTCCTTAAAATATAGGAAACAACCCTTTGGAGAACTAGGAGTCTGTCAGTGCCTCCAAAAAGCAGGAAGCATAACTGCTTGAAGGCTGACAGATGCTTCACCACCATGACAAGAAGCTGTTCCACAGGCTACAGCTTGTGAGCCCCTGAGTCAAGCCATATGGTCCTGAATGCCAAGACTGCTTGTCTTTCCCAGTTTACTGGGAGAGATGGATTGTTCCTGCTTTCCTCTGAATTTGCAAAAGTAGTCTGTTGACTTTTATAAGTTTACAGTTCAAATGCAATAAAATGCTTGACTGCTTCCACTCATAAATCCTCCTTCGTAAACACATAAACACGGCTCTCAGACTTTAAGAGACCCTTCACAATTAATAATCTATTCAGCACATGTAAATAATTGTGTATACAGGGTCTGAAACATCTTTGTTCAAGGCATCTATAGCAATCTAATGTGAATAACAGCAATGGATATACATTGCTAAAATTCAGAGCTTGATAATTTAAGATAAAACCCCAGTATACTTCAGCATCACAAAAATTAAGCCTCCAAGTTTTAAGTTCTTAAACATGGGTACATTCTCCAGTGCTTCGGTCAGGTGAAATTTAAATATTTCAGAAAGTGAGAATTTCTAATTCTTCTCATCTCTTGAAAAAATATTTAACTACTCAAGATACTTTGGTACGATCTTTTTTTAAGATATGTTTTATGTCTTTTCCAGTGACTGTATTCTGAAGTGTCTTCACTGGTGTGTAGGTGACCCAGCAATTGCCAAGAAACAGACGAAGGCAAAAAGTATCTCGCTTCTATCGCAGAAATGCAGGAGGAGGGAAAAGCCCCCAGCGCAGAGGCAGCGAGGGGTGTGCGTGTCCATGCATTGTTCCCTCCCGGAGCAGTCCTGGCTCTCGCTGGGGTCTGCCCGGATAGAGGGTACCGGCACCTTGCGAAGCCCAGCCTTAAACTTTCTCCTGTTAAGAGTTTCCTTGAGCCATTTCTCGTTACAATTTTCCACTCATCTGTCCATTGCTTCCTTCTAAAAAACGCACAGCATATTGATGAAATCTCTACAGAACCTGCAGAAATAATGGCAAGGCCCCCGCAGCGGCACTTCCCGGCGGGATGCGGGAGGACGAAGGGCGAAATGCCGGGGTTCCCACAGCACCCTCCCGGCGCCGCACGCTGGAGCGGCGTGCGGGGAGACACCGGGAACCACAGCCACTGCACCGCCGCCCCCGATTATTTCATGTTCTCGCACTCGTCAGGGTAACACTGACAACTGATTTACTACGGCAGTTTTTCCCAGTGCCTTCCGAGATCTCCCAAGGCTCGACCGCTGGTCCGGCCGCCTGCTGCAACTTTTCCAGGGGCTGCGGAACGCCGAGGGCAAGACCGGGCGGCATTTTTTTTCTCCCCCTCACCTCGCTCCCCCAGCCCGTTCCCAGGCGGCAGCGGCTCCCACCCCCGGCGGGTACCCCCCATCTCTCGGACAGCCCGGGAGCCGCCGCGCCCGCGGACGCGCACTCCGCGCCCGGCGGCTGCCCCGGCCCCGCTGCCCGGGAGCCGCGGGGCAGCCCCGCCCGCGGGCAGGTGGGCGCCCCCCGCCGCCGCCGCCCGGCCGCACTCACTTGTGCCTTCTTCATAAGGAACGGCAGCGCTGCAGTCCAGCCCAGCCGGCCGTGTGCAAACTCCCTTCAGCGGAACTGTAGCTCCAGCATAATGCAGCAGTCGATAGTCCACGCATTGGGGTTGCCCACGGCGAGCCCCGCGCTGCCTCCGCCCGTCCCGCCGCCGCTCCGCGCGCCCCGCTGCGCCCCCTCCCCACGGCCTGAGCGTCCGCGCTCACTGAAGCCACCGCCGGCGCCCGGCCAGGTCTTTTATATCTCCGATCTGCCTCCAACCGCGGCGGCGGCGGCAGCCCAGGCAGGACACGCCTTTCCCCTCCCTCCCGCCCTCCCGGAGGACCGGGAGCCCAGGCAGACCCTGCGGGGCGGGGGAAACCCGAGTTAACTTGGGGCAAGTTGGAGGCAGGAACAAGCCGAGCCTGCCCCTCGCCAGCGCCGGAGGGGAGCGGGGCCGCGCGGCGGGCAGCGGCGGGCGGGGATGCGGCGGGGGGTGTGGGCATGCGGGGCGGGGGGCGCTGGGTACCGGCCCCGGGGGTGGGTGCACAGGGTTCCTCCCGCCCGGTGCCGGGGCTTCCGCGGTGCCCGGGACAGGCGATGCCAGCCGAGCGCGGGGAGCGGGGTGGGGGCTCCGGCCCTGCCCGCGGTGGGCTCCGGCAGCGTGCGGGAAAGCCGCACGCCGCAGCGGCATTTGAGGTCAGCCAGGCTGCGGGCGCAGAGCCAAGTCCTTGGGTTGGGTCCCCCCACCCACGCTGGGGAAAAGGGGGGTGCTCCCCGGCTGAACCCGCCGCTGGGCGCCGACTCGGCCCGCGGCGGGGAGGGCAGCGGGCTCGGAGGCTGGCGGGGCTCCCAGCCGGTGCCCGGTGTTCCCAGCGGAGCGGCCGCTGCAGCGGCGCGCACAGCCGAGGCGGCAGCCCTGGGTTTGCCATTGCCATTCCAGTGCTGCTTTCCCATACTCGGTGAATGCAAGTTAAGCACTGGGGTGAGCATTTCAGCTGAAGCCCAGAAACTCCTTTACCTGCTCCAGACACAGAAAAAATTGTTGAGCAGTGCCTCCTAACGCTTCTTCAAAGGTGATCCTGCGGGTCTTTTCACATGCTGTTACAATTTGCATCCCGTGTAAATAATGCATTAGTGTTGGGTGTGGAAAAGCGACTTGACTTACTGCTTGGAGTCTTCTGGCCAATCCATCACAGCAGCAGCCACAGAATTTGAGTCCTCTTTAGAGAAGGCAGGTCCCAAGGTTAATATGAATTAAATTTTGGGTGTGAATTAAATGGAATGTAGAGCAGTTTATGAAACTAGTATCTCCTGAAACAGCCATACTAGGTGAAAATTTAAAGACCATTAAAAGGAGGAAAGAACAGTCTGACCCAGTCAATGGTCATTTCCTAAAGGAGATTAGGCATGCTCAGAGTGTACAATAAGAGATTTCATTAGAAAAGTTAGTCTAATTTTCACCTAGAATTAAGTTTTGTAAAGACTTGATTTCTGTCAAAGTAAAGGTGAGCTGTTCGGATACAGAAAGGTTTTGAACTCATCCCCAATTTTGCTATATATTTGGAGTTCATCAGATAAACATCTAATATAATTTTGCAGATAAAAATCTAATATCATTTTGCTTCTGCATCAAATCCAGAAAAATGGGTCAATAATTTTCTTTTACAGCGTGACAGTACTGATGAATTAATTCCCTTTTTGTCAGGTTTATTTCTGCACTTCATGATTATTACTGAGCTGAATTTGTCAGACTTTTATATGCATATAGTAATAGTCTCTTCCTCTAAGTAATAGATAATAAGTGAAATGGCAGAAGCCTTTAACAACAGAAGAAATCAAGGACCTCATTCACTGAAAGGGCAGTTTGTGTATCATCTAGCAGTGATCAACCAAATACCTTTCACTGTCTACACATTTAACAAAATAGGGCCAGGAAATTAAAATGTTATGGCATATTTCCTCCTTAGAACAGATGACCAGTTTAGTCTCCTGGGGAGAGGGCCTGGAAAGTGTGAAAGAGCAGTCTGTCACAGCAGTTACCTATTTGATGGAAAACACTTCTGGTCTTTCTCTGTGTTGAACTCTATCACAGTTCACCATTAGTCATGACAGGAAAAATTTTGTGGATGCCCTGTATCCAGTTACATTATTGGTAACTGTGCAGAGTGAATAACACTCTTGGGCATAATTAAGTTTCTTTACCACCCTGGCATCATGCACCTTTTCTCTCCATTCTCAGTCTGACTACTTGAACCTGCCCTTGTGTTTAATGCCCAACTATAGTGAAGTAGTGCCCTTTTCATCTCTTCCTTTTGTGTTTGCAATTTTCAAGTGTATTACTGCTGGCACTGTCCTCAGTTTGGTTTGGGAAGACTTTTCTATGAAGTTCAGAATTTAATAGTTTAAACTCATTAATATCTTGTGTCTGTATCCCCTAGGAAAGCATGTTTTTATTAGTCTTGTCCATTTCCAACATAGTAGCAACTTTTGATTTCCCAGAGGTGAGAACTGATTAGCCATGGACTGTTAGTGCATTGACTGGGAGTTTTCCAAAGCCCAACTGCAAACCACATTCTGTCTTCTATGGCCTACCTTATTTGCATTTCTGAGTGCTTGGGGGTGAACACAGGCCCTATCATAGTTTTGTGCAAACCTGTTCCTTCACAGGGAAGATATGGAAAACACTGTTAGTTATCCCAGCTCTTCACAGGACTTAGTTCCGCCCATTCAGCAGGTTTGTCCTCACCAGGAATACTGTTCAACCTGTATGGAAATACCAGCAACTGAAAATTAAGCCTTTCCAGTCTAACATGAACGAAAATGCCTCACCATCTTTACCAGCTGAGAAATGGCTGTTAAATGGCTCTTAAACGGTTTTTTATTCTGTAATTTTGTGGAATATCTGCTGTGCTTTCCATAGCTTCAGCTCTGCACTCAGTCTGTTGATAGCTTGGCTGCTGGCTGGGACAGCTGGAATTTGGGAATATGCAGGATCACATCCAGCCTCAGCTGCTGAGATTGCTGGACTAAAAAGTGTTCTGTGTCAACTTGGAAAATTGAAAAAAATTCTCCTATGAAGCCATTTAAGCTGTGAAGGCAAACACCAGTGTGTGCGTATTAGAAAGACAGCACACTAATCCCGTCTAATCGGTTACAGACTGAGCATGTGGGCGCTGTGCTGGCACAGATACCTGGCCTGTAGCATCAGCTCAGTTAAATCCCCTCTCACCAGTCTTTTTTTAAGGACATAGAGTACTAAGCACACACATTCCTAACCTAGATCAGACACACAAAATTGAAAAAAATTATATTTAAAGTTGAGGTATGAAGAGCCAAGAACAGAAGTACATGATTGTGGAGGAATGACCTTCTACAGAAAAGACAAACCTTGCAAGATTTACAGAAAATTACATTAATTACTCTGACATTGAAGAAGTACATTGGGATAACTATCTCCTTAAGAGGTCTTTTATCTTTGATACCAAAAAATGTTCTAGGTGTTATTCTGTGATTGTGAACTTGCACACTCTAATTTCAGGGCACAACCAAAACCAATACTTAATATTCTGTCAAAGCACATATTTTGAATTTTTAATTGAGCCTTATGTTCAACAGTTACCAAAGGGACTGTTAGTTTATTCTAGGCATCATACATCTTTTGTGTTGTATACAAGTGACAGAGGAACTTCTGCTGATACTCAATATCGCTGGTCAGTAAGTAAACAAATGACTCAACCAGTACTTAGTCCACAGGGACATGTACACTACTACAGAGCCACTTTTTATTTCATTGAGCACCATAAGAGCACAGGATTCAGATGTATTTTTTTCATTCACATGACCTGCCTCTAAAGATTGATTTGCAAGAAGCAGTTTCCATGGAACTGATTTTTCATAATATATTAGTGCAGACTCAGATTTTAAGGATAATTAAGTTATTATATGGTAAAATCATAGTTCATTTGGCAGAGTAGTTGGCAGACCAGCTGTAAGGCCTTAAAGAGCACAGTTGCCTGTCTCAAACACTGTTAGGGCCACGGAAGGGCTTTGTCATGAGATAAGCACAGAATGAAGCAACAGAATGGCACTAATTCCAGGCCTGGTGGAGATGACATACTGGTTCATGCATACGGACAAAAATTCCTTCTGTGGCAAACTGTGTAAAGAGACAACTTCTCATACACATATCACTGGCCAAAGAAAGATCACCCCAAGTTATGGGACAGATGGCATCTGTCACCACCAATAGCCACTGAAACCCCCCTGAATATGCCTTCATGGATGCTTGGAATTTAGACTGTAAATTAAGCCACCACAGGGAACTTGAGATAAGAAGAAGATGGGTTTATCTCAGACCTAGGGAGAGGTTAACAGGCTGGGGGAGAAGAATCTATCACTGATAATGGATGTAAAGAATGCAGAATTTACAGACCACAAGGAAAGCCAACTCAGCAGCTGTGCTGAAATCAGCTCAGACTGGGTAAAAGTTAATTTTGGCAGGGGGAGGTAGCAATCACTGACTCACAGCCCATCGACCCAAGAAACCCACTTACTCAGAAAAAAAGACTGAGCATGGGACTAAATAACTTTAGAAGTGAGGGAATAATTTAACCAATAGAATGAGATAATTTTGTAGCCAATGAATATTAATTCCTTTGCTTGTTAAAACACATAAGTAGTGAAGTTTTGAATGACCTCAGAACACCCTCCACAGAGAAGACCAGGGTAAAGAAGGACAAACAGAAACGCTGATTGGATCAATGGGTGGTGACTACCTTCTGCTTGAACTGTCTCTCTCTCCTCCCGTGCCACTTTTCTCTTTCTTTCTATCTCTCTAGTTTACATTCATTGATAAATCAAATCTGTCTTAATGACCTTGGCATATGTTCTCATTTGTACCTTAATTCAGGCAGGGACATCTCTTACTAATCAGATCTTAACACCAGCTGGGGGGAAAATGCTGTATTCTGGATGAACAGAGATATCTCCAAAGGAAAAAGAAAAAAAAAGGATTGAAATTCAATTATTTATTAAAATGGCAGAATTAGTAGCTCAGTATCTCATTATGATGCTTCTCCAAAACCCAGCTAAATGGAAAAAGAAGAAGCAGGCAAGCATCATAGGAGTGGAGCCAGGGAGCTTCAAACTATTAGAAATCTGTTCAAGAAGTGCCAGTGAAGGAGACTGGAGTCACATGATTGTGTGTGAGATTTATTTGCCCAGAAGCAGATATCACAAGCAGGTAGAAAAAGCTAGAGTATAGTCTTTGTTGTCAGTAGAAGGAAG